CCCAACGCCAGTATACGGATGGTCTTGGAAATTCGAACCCACGCCGTCATTTTCGAGCTTTACGGTGATACCAGCAGCCTCGAGTGCGGCTTTTGGTCCGATGCCGCTGTTCTGGAGAAGCTTTGGTGTGTTTACGGCACCCTGGAAGCGAAAATGTCAAGTCAGTATTTGCGCAACTCTGCAGGCAGCTTGACGTTCTACTTACCGCAGCTAAGATGACCTCTTGCTTCGCATAGTAGGTCTTTGTCGAGCCAGTCTTCTTGTCGGTGATCTTTACGCCCTTCGCCGTAAGGGTTTTATTTCCGTCGAACACGAGTTCAGTCGCGAGAGACTCCAGTATGACCTTCAAGTTCGACCGGCTCATGATCGGATCATAGTACGAGTTACGGGCGTGCGTTCTTTCGCCAGTCCTGGGGTTCATGGTATTGGGGTACCATGAGGTACCATATGCCTCGCCGTTGTTTCCATCGCGGGCGGCATGCGCATTACCGGTGCCTTGGAAGGCGTCGAAAAAGTCAGTGATATCGGAGTATACTGTGTCTGTGACGCCGATCTTCAGTGGACCTTTTCCGTAGCTGGAAGTTACCAACGTTAAAAGTTGCTCACACGGGCAATATTTCGCTGACTTACGCCTCGGGGTCCCAAGTAATACCGACTTGATCAATAGTCTCCTGTGGAGCTGGGATGTACTCTGTTCCCATTTTGAAAAACGGATAGATCCCCTCCCATCCCCAACCCTTGTTGCCCAACGCCTCCCAGGCATCGTAGTCTGCCGCTGATCCGCGATCATATATCATTCCGTTGACGAGAGACCCGCCTCCGAGAATCCGCGCGACACGAGTGTTCCATGTCTTATTCCCGAGGAATGGTTCTGGCTGGCACACATAGTCTGTCCACAGAAGAGAGGTATTGAGGGCATATGTGGCGCCATAAGGCATGCGGATGTTTGGGTTGTCGTCTGCTCTTCCAGCTTCAATGACAAGTACGGATTCTGTACGACCATCATGTCAGCTTTGTGTAACTCTAGATTGGTTGGTCAGTCTCACTATTCTTGTCCTCGGTCAGACGATTGGCCACGACGAGACCGGTCACACCCCCTCCAACAATAACATAGTCGTAAGTTTCCTGGGCGGCTGACAGCCCCAGCAAAGCAACGACGGCTAAGTTCCTAGGGTAAAGCATCCTGGCGAGCTGCTTCGAGGCGATACCGCAAGAAGAGATTGACTTTGACGAGGGTGGAATATGCCGGGAGAGGAAGAAGGGCAGCTCTTGAGCTCTTAAACTCTCCACAAAGCCCCATGTTAGCTCTTAGCATTTTTGCGGTACCTGAGCGTGCATGAGTTGTATGGATACACGAGTCGGTACACCGTTGTGGCTAAGGTCGGCAACAAAGCTCCGATACAGTTAGCAGTGAGCAGTAGATCTGGCCAAAGGGTCTCAAATTCAGGCGGCATACCAGGTCCTTGCAATTGCATGGCGCAAGATGGAAGATTGATAGAAACAGCATGGCCCCGAGATTAGGCGATCTTGGCTAGACGGCTCGGCATTGTCCCGCATTCAGGAAGTCACCCCACCCACACCAACGCCGCTCCCCTGCCTAACTCTGATTCTTTGGTACTGGAGGACACCTTTGAGCGCAGACGATCCTAGTAAGTTTTGCTGACCGCTCTAGGTTCTCGTTTGCCTTTCCAGGCTCTTGACGAGCAGGATTGATCTTCTTGTAACGTCTTTACGCTTTTACCGACTTCCGAGCAGCTGTGAAATGTTGAAGCTGGAAGCAGCATTGTGGCAACCCCCAATATACCGGCAGCAGGAGCAGGGTCGTGGTTTACACATATTGCGGCGCCACTGCTGCCAAGTCGGAAGGGTCCACCGTTGTGGACCGCCGGCTCTACGAGAACTTCTTTCACCCGTTACGCCCTGTGTCAATTTTATATGTGAGGGGTCTCTAGCATCTTCCTCATCAAATGCCAACAGCTGTCAGCACACAATTTTAACCGGCTGGTTGATGCAGGTCACGAATCCTCTTTCGCCTGTTGGGCAGTCAGCATCGTCGCGGGATGGGACGGGACGGCGGGACCTTAATTGGCTCACCAGCCGACGCCCCGAGCCTCGCTTGCACGCTTGCACGCTCGCGAAGTCTACGATGTCGAGGCATCCAACGAACGACAAGGGCTGTGTTCTGACCCTGGAGCACATGACAAGAATTGGTTGGCCGAAGCATGCCAAGGTGGCGTAAAACCACGCTTCAAGGTACAAACATGAAGTGGAGCCACACGTACAGCGCGATACAGCACGCAAGAGGTGTATTTACATCACTGCAGCTTTGTGGAACCGTCTTTGCGAACTGGTCTTTCCAGCTCTTGGGGCCATCACACCGACCTTGCAGCCTTTCCAGCTTTCGCTTACACCCGATGGAGTGACGAAGCCCAAGAGATGACAGCCACACGGGCACGGATCATACCCAGTTCTGTGGCTCTTAGCATGCATAGCTATCACATTTATTTGCAACGTGCGCCTCGAAGGATTTCAAGATAACAGACCAATCCATGCGTCCCAACACGATCGTATCCAGACTCGTGTATTGCTGGGTTGGCATAGTCAACATCAAGACTGAAGGTTGAATGGTTGGCCAGCAGCAAGCAACTGACTTCGAGTATGCTGCGGCTTACTATATCTTGGAGCGCATGCTGATACCATCATGTCTGTTGTGTGTAGAGGTCTCATGCCCATCATCACAACGTCAAGCCCGAGCCTCTTGCATAGATGACGAGAGGGTATTACTGATGCCGCACAAGTGCATGAATAGTATAGTCCTTACGACATCTTGGCACGAGACTGGAAACTGCGAAGAAGCTGGAAGCGGAGAGCGGAGTAGACGCTGGGGTTCCCTGCTACTGATGGCAGATGATGAAACGCCATGCTCGCGTGAGCTATTCCGAACAGATCCCCAGCCGATAAGATGAACGGGGCGTTCCAGCGGCCCTCCCGAGATCCTGGGGTATCCAACAGGCTCAGATGGGCGAACGGCTGGGATAAAGAGTGTCATTTTGCGCACGTTGCCAACTGACATCGCTTCTCCCTCCGTTTGTGTTTACACTGCATCTACGCAATATCGACATCTGCAATGGCACCAACCGAGCAGCAGGAATGGCCAAACCGCGCGCCTGTCTTCCTCATTCCCTCGACTATTTTGTGCATATTGAGTACTGCGGTACTCGTATGGCGACTTGTGTATAGCATCAGGGCTAAGCGGAAGCTTGTACTACACGATTACCTTCTCATCATTGCAGCAGTTCGTCAGACCAGTAGCTTTATCATGAAGGCAAGATATGCTGACTAGTATGGGCCCAGATGCTAAACGTCGCAACGTCGGGTATCCGCTTCAAAACATGTCAGCATGGCCTGGGTCGTCATATTCGGGATCCTAGCATCAGGCTGCCCTACGATATGCCGAAGTACAGCTACTACCTCTGGATCACACAGATCCTAAACCTTATTGCCGTCGCAACGCTAAAGTACTCGATTTGTGGCTACCTTCTAGTCCTTAAGTTCTCGAGAGTGTACCTTGCGGTGGTGTGGGCTTCAATACTGATGGTCACTACGTTCAATCTACTATTGCCCATCATGGGCTGCTTTTGCAGCACACCGTTTGAAGCAAATTGGAATAAGTCCATCAAAGGCAAGTGCTTCATAAAGACTAGCTCGCCTCTCACGTACAGTCAGGTCAGTCCTCCCTATATTTGCTTTGCTGATGTAACCAGCTGATGACAAAACAGGGAGTTGCCAACTGTGTCACTGACGTGATATACGTCGTCGCACCCATCATATACTTGTCCACCATCCAGTTACCAAGGCGTACGCAATGGGGTCTGCGCATCGTCTTCTGTCTTGGCCTTGTGTAAGTACCCTCCGGGATTTGCATTGACATCAGCTGAGCCAGCCATCAGTGCAACCGCTTGTTCAGTTGCAAAGACCGTTGAGCTTTCCGCGTTGACGAAGACAGCCGATCCAACATGGGACGGTGTCAACCTCGCCATCTGGTCCGCATCGGAACTCTCGGTCGGTATACTTGTCGCGTCTCTACCCGCACTCCGAAAGCAATTCGACAGCTTCTTCAGCCGCGTTCTCTCGTCGACCTTTCTGGGAATGGGATCCAAGACGGGGTCTGGTAGCAAAGGCATACCACTGTATAACGTCGGACCACCCCTTACCGTCGGAAGTCGACCAACGGGAGGCCGTTCGCGATTTCAAAGAGACGACCTCGATGATGGAGATAGTGAGAAGTGCATACTGGACGATTCAGAGCTGCCTGGAAAGCGCGAAATAACGAGAACGATCGTACATGAGATACGTAGTGAGAACAGGAGCAACGTACAGGTCCCAGATCGGGTACACAACATGTACGGCCAGCTTCAGTGAGCCTTCTAGGCTTAGCTGCCTCTCCGTGGCGTTTCAAGAGTATCCATTGCTGAGTAATCGGAAAATTGTCACTAATGCGCGTCGGTCTCCGTGGCAGTATTGCGATAGTTTGAGTAGCCTCGCGAAGGAGTAAGATTATGGCCGAGATTCGACAGACAGGTTCAGGTGGATGCTACGCTGTAGTGCGGACGATCTTCACGTCGCGCAGTGCAGCACACGATTGAAGGAGATGTTGATATCCATGACGTCATCCACGGCGACCTCGGGGTCCCGACCGTCGAGTTCTCGACCACATCGGACAGCGAGGAGGTGCGAGGATAGCGATTGAACAGACCCTTGTGGGTGTTGAGATATGCACGTAGCGACATAAGTGGTAGCGCAGCCTTGTTCCGAACAGCATTTGTATACCGAGAAACCGAGAGGCCGTTAGCGCGTGCCGCGGAAGCCGAGAAGGCAACCAGCGATTTCTTTTGGCAAACATTAGATAAAGCAACTCGATATCGCATACAGAGACGGAACAATACCTTCAATACTTTCACATCAACTCAGAGTACTTCGGCCATATTCCACAATTTACCATGACTTCTCCCGTTCTCGTTTTCGGCCCGACTGGAGCAGTAGGCAGCGCCGCTGCCACTGAAGCACACAGGCGTGGTGCCAAAGTGTACCTCGCCATGCGCGACACAAAGAAGCCATTAAGAGGTATCCAGGAAGCGGGAAACAGTGACAGCTTTATCCGCGTTCAAGCTGATCTGGCCAAGCCCGAGACCATCAAGACCGCGGTCAAGACATCTGGTGCCAAGACAGCCTTCGTATACGTCGTACATGAGGTCGAAGACGGCATGCGAAGCAGTTTCGAAGCGCTCAAGGAGGCCGGTGTAACCTACATTGTCCTCTTGTCTTCGTTCAAGGTCGAAGATCCTCTGGACTCAGAAGCCAACAAGACGGATATGATTGGCGCTCTCCACTCCGCAGCTGAAAGCGCATTGCGAGAGACTGGCGTCTCATACACCGCCGTCCGACCCGCATACTTCAGTAGCAACGTGTTCTGGTATACCGCAGACATCAAGCAGGGCGAGGTCGAGATCCTCTACCCCAACGTGCGGTTCGATTACCTCGCTCCCTCAGATATCGGCACTGTGTGCGGCACACTTCTCGCAGAGCCACGATTCCAGAAAGAAGCGGGGCAGTCGATCTATCTGTGTGGCCCTGAACTTCTGACCCAGCGTGAGGGTATGGCTGTGATTGGCAAAGCATTGGGGAAAGAGATCAAAGTCAAGGAGATTGACGAGGAGAGGTGGTTCAAGAAGCTGGCGCACATGCCTAAACCTATACTCGACACACTGGCGCGGGGAATGCGGGAGAGTAACGCCGGGAAGGATGATTATGGCAAAATCTACAAGGACGCCGTGGAGAACGTGAAAAAGTACACGGAGCGGGAGCCGACGAAGCTGGAGGACTGGGTCAAACAGAACAAGGCCGCTTTCGCGTAGACTGAAGCTTAGCCTTAGTCAAGATAGTAACAAGACCCGAGAACTTACAGCTGCATCCTCTTCTGTATTGCGTGAGACCCTTGAACGAGACCAAAAGCAAAGTGATCCGCGCGAAGTGGACACTGTCAGATAGAGTTGGACACGTCAGTCCAGATATGGACATAGCGCCCGCACGCGCGTGATCCCTGCATGACGAAGACAGGTGCCGATCACCTGAAACCCAGCAAGTTTCCGTCATCACGACCACGACCCAAACCCCACAATCTCCCTTTATTCTTCAAACCACGCACGACTGCCACCGGCGATAACGAAACATTACTACTACGAGCCCGAAACTCACGACACCGGCGCAGTCATGGCAGCGAGCATCGAAGCATCGCCGCCAGCGCCTCCAGTGCCGTCGAAACACGCCCCAAACGAGGCGCACGCCCCGAGCTGTCCGTCATGTGGCAGTAGCATAAATATGGCCGAGCTGCAAGACGCGAGGCAGAGGATAGAAGAGCTCGAGGCGCAAATGGAGCGCCTGAAGGAGAAGGCAACGGCAGCTGGTACGCCCCCATTATGCGTCCGACGTCACATCACACCCGAGCCCACACATACTAACATCGTCTAGTCGACAGATGTGCCGACTACGAAGACCAGATCCGCAGCCTCCAAGCGACGCAAAACGCCCCTAAACTGCCCCGAACCCAAACCTCACAATCCGATATCCCCAATCCATCCTCGCGCCCCTCCGTCGACGCCGATCCCCCACGTCCCACAACTGCGAATTCTACAAAAGCCTCCCGCTTCTCCTTCATCACAAGCCGCTTTCCGTCGCCGGCGAATACAGGTGGCATGCCTCCACCTCCACCGCCAAAAGACCCGTCCCATGCACCACCGGTCGACTACACCCTTCTCAACGAGCTCGAGCGCGAGCGTGCCCTACGCGCCAAGGCGGAAGCACGTATTCAGACTGTAGATTCCGAGATTGAAGAACTGAGCGTGCAATTGTTTAGTCAGGCCAACGAGATGGTAGCGGAGGAGCGACGGGCAAGAGCTAAGCTGGAAGAAAGAGTCGAGACATTGGAGCGCAGGGACAGGGAGAAGATGGGCAGGCTGGATCGCTTGGAGAAGGCTGTGACAAGAGTGGAGAGAGTCAAGGCATTACTGGGTGAGAAGGAAGATCTGAAGAGAGAGTCGGTTAGCAGCGGGTTGTTGTCACCACCCGCTAGGAGGTGATGAGATTTTCGGTATTGTTTCTTGTTGCTGTTCTTCCGTGTCATCTGTTACGATACCCATTTAGTTTTGATCTACTGCATCTTAGCGTAGCGTTTGGCGTGGTTGGCTTTACAGTGGGTGCATTTTTTCGGTGTCGGCGGTCGGTATCGGTATCTAGAGGGGTGGATCATCCTGTAGGCAAAGCGAAAGACATAGCATGCATTAACTATACAACGTTGTACTCTGCATTGGCCATACGGCATTATACTCTGTAGGCTCTGTGTGATGAGATGGATGCGGTTCTTACTTCGTGACTGCCCGGGCAGAATACGACACCGTCATAGCATTACATCACAACAGCATGAGAAGGTGGTAAGCCGACTCACCAAAGCTCCGCCAGGCATCGACTCGACTCCTTGCAACAATAGACCTGGTTGTGTGAATGTTTAGATGGCGTCCTGGCCATTGGCCATCAGCGATGCTACTAATATCCCACAAAGAGCACAATATCTTCCCCCAGCGCAAAGGAAAGCCAGGCAGCACTGCGAGCTAGCCAAAGCCGCTTACTCCTCTCATTGCTCTTCCAGCCCAAGCGGTTTCCCACATACACCCACTCACACATTCACAAAATCAGATATGCGCGCCGACGCCCCTTCCATCTTCTCCCATCCCGTGACACGCTTTTTACCACCCGGCTAAAAGCTCCGCAAGACTCATAGCACTGCCACCGCACCCGTAGCATCCATGGTTTCTCAAAACCGTGTCCGTGCACTCTGCCCTATGATTCCCAGAGCTTCACTGCGCATCCATGGTGCAGAGGAAAGCATTGCTACTTCTCGTCTGGTCATGGCAACCTGGTCCTTGCATCGTATCATGTGCTTTGCGGTACTCAGTATCTGGGTTAATGGCTTCTGGAATTTCGCATATGCGTCTGTGTGACGGATGATGGGGAGTTGATGTAGCGTGCATTGTCTTGGACTTCGAGCGCTGAATGAAGCTTTGGGCATACTGAGAGCGCGATTTGAATGGATTGAGCGTGATGCGTGACTTTGTCGCGTTGTAATCGCTGAATAATGGCGTTGATTCGCCTCGAGTCCCGCGAAAGAGCGAAGACTCAGTCGCTTAGATCCAGTGGCCGCTTTCGCACAAAGACATTTCAGTCGTTCCTGTGACCAATATGTGTGGAAACATAGGCATCCATACTGGCGTCGGGGGAGTTGGCCGCGAAAGATGATCCTGTAGTGACAATACCCTCAGCTCTTCCAAGGTTGCGTCTGATTTTGCTATTGGTGACCGTCCTCCCGCGACTATAGCAGCGACTCAGCTGCCAGTGTTCATGTTCGTGACATGGTTCTGTTGCTCATATTTCGGTCGCTCCATAATATCTCTTTTTTCGCATTAATAATATCTTGCTGAAGACTCACAACCGCTGTGGAGACCTGCTGCGTTTTCATTCTTATAAAACGCAGCGCATTCCTCTCTTCCCTTCTCTTTCTTTTCTTTAGCAGATATCCGACTCTTGACTCTACACATACCAAGTTAGATATCAAGATTGTCTTCGAACTTACCTTCAAGACATCCAACATCATCACCACCTCTGCTACCAACACACTACTACAACCACTACTACAACCACCATCACCAACACAAAAGTAAAGTCAAGTACTTTACCTTTCACCTTCAAGTGAGCTACGACTAGTACCTCCTAAACCCAAAACAATCCTAACAGCAATTCAGCATGCCCGGCTACTGGGACAAGAACAAGTGCGCAAGCGCCGAGGACAGGGCGGCTGCCATAGCAGACATGCAGAGGGTCGCTCAGGAGGCCAAAGCCCAATTCCAGACCCGCCAAGCCCCCTCCAGCCATGGCCTTGTTGGGTTTCACCGAAACGGGAACGGCGATATGGTCAAGGTGATCGTCAACAACATGGCGTGGACGGAAGAGTTAATTCCTGCCGAGAAGCAGGATTTGGCGTTTGGCCACGTTTGGCTGCCCACTTGGCCGAAAGGGAACGCAGGGCCTTACAACCACTGGTCTGAATATGGCCAGAATCAGTCCGAGTTCATCCCGGTCATGGATTCGGATATTGGCTTCAACGAGGTCAATATAGGATTGACTGAAGGGATGAGATTCCTCCAGCTTAGGGAGGTCATACTTTCGGAGAATTCCTTCGGAAGGTTTTTCGAAGGCGTTGCGTCGTCTTCTCTCGATCCGGCTCGAGAGTACTTCACGATGGCCCTGGATGGTAGTGTCCAGGCACATCCTGCCCCTGCTCCCGCCCCTCAAGAGCAGCCCGGCAACCCCGCTGGAGACTTCGTTGGTCTGAGCGGCGACCAACTCGCGGAGATCCCGTTATATGAGGACGACATGGGAGTCGAGCCCTCCTCTCTTCCGTCGTCTGGTCCTAGTTTTGGACCCGACTTTTTTTCTGGCAGCGACAAGTCTGCCCCTTCGTCGGAACCCCCGACTAACAGCCCGTTTGCCGACGACATGGCTCCTGGATGGTACTAGCCGCAGCCTACCGCTGCGTTTGACGCCGACATTGCTGCTAACGGTCTCGACCCAATGCTGTTCGATCCGTATGCCGGCTTCGTGCCCGCGAAGCTATGAGTTCCGGCTTGAGTTTTGACAGCGAGGACCTCCTGGCGTATGTTTGGCGTTTGGGAGGGTTTTCCTTTTTTTGGTGGCTACTTTGGGTTTCTTTCTTACTGTTCGTATGTTAATTCTGGAAATACAAACACATCATCGCCAACTGTAGTCAGCTTGCTTCACATGTGATGTTTGATATGTATACTTATTCTTTGGAGTTCAACTACCTGTAGCAGACTACTAGTATCTCCAAAGACACAACAGCCGATCATAGAAGCTCGTAGATATGAACGTCCGTTGACCCTGACTATTGAGTTCTGGCTGAGAATCACTTCCGTAGTTCATGCTCTCATGTTCCTCGAACTTGGCCAGTACCTCGATCTGCCAATCTTTGGAAGCGCTCTTGGTGAGCCTAACGATCCTAGTGCCAGCATGCATACAGCTAACAAGCAGTAGGATGGCCTCCGGCGGCGGCTCCGATCTCCATTTCTTTACGCCGTGGTGCGCTGGTAGCTTGGGATTTCGGTCCAGCAGCTTCAACCGCCATACACCACCACCGAGATTGGCTTCCGCAAGAACCTGACGACGGCCTGAGATGGGTACGTGGAGGAGCCGGATATGATCATCGTAGCTGCCAGTGATGATCAGACCACCTTGGCTGTCCAGATGTACTGGGAGAATAGCAGTGACACCAGCACCGTGTATCTTTCCATCCATCCAGGGCACGCTTCCTCCAGATCCGTCCGACAACTCCGCAAAACGAAGCGCGCTGTCATCTCCACCCGACAGCAGTCCTGAGCCATCCGGTAAGAACGCAAGGGTCCAGGCTTCCAAATCATGCGATGCGACTTCCATCTTCGTAGGCGCATCGGACTCGTCTTCCGTATCTATTACACCGAGACACACCTGCCCGTTCGACAGCGTCATACCGACCATGAAGGACTCCGGGTGCCAAGTGAACGCAGTGATGAGTACATCTTCTGGGAAGTATTGGATAGTCTTGATGTGAGCGATCTTGGGGTCGCGCTGCCACGACTGGAGCTCGTAGATGGCGAATGCACCTGTTGAAGTTGCAACGCCAAAGTTGGAGCTGGTGACATGCGTCAAGAAATGTATGTCCAGAATAGCTGATGGCGTGGACAGCGTCTGAACGATGTGGCTGTCTAGGGTTAGTACTACGCCTAGACGAGCGCAACAAATACAGATGGTCCGCAAATAATCCTGCTTACACAATATCGCCATCAACGCGAACCAATATCAAACTGCCATTGCGCTGCTGATTTTTGGCGCTCACTTTGCCATCGTGTGGAGCGCTCCCCGCGGATTCTTTCTCGTCGGACTTTTCGAGGTTGTACGTGCCGATTATCGCATACTGAGGATTGAGCGGGAAGAACTCGATACAGCTAGGAGGCAGATCGAGCTTGAAAGACGTGAGGGATTGTATGGAAGTCATGTTGCGGGGATGGTGTACTTTTCTGACAGCCTCTCATTTCGGTTAGTGGGCTCAGTGACTAAGCAGGACCAGAGTGACGCAACCCATCTCGAGCTCTCCTTCCTCTAACTGCGCGCCGCTGCGCTTTGTGCGCATCGCGATTACCATGAACGTAGACGAATTCAGGCAAGAGTCGTCGAATAACCGTTGACGTTCGTGATAGCGACTGCGCCGTCGAATTGATGCCTTGCTAATCCCTGATATCGCGACATCGCTGCCTAGACTAGTCCCAAAGCGAACAACACCTGACCACGCGACTTCCATGACGGAGTTCTATTAAAGTAGTTGCGTACACGCGTTATAACGTGTCGCTTCAATCTCATCTGCGTTCCGATCCATCTCGACATCTCTCAGATATACTCAACCCGCAATTGACTTCCCAGCCATTCGCCATGACCGACATCAGCGCCACAGCAGAGACCTTTGCGTCTGGACGTTACTCCAAGCGCAAGAGGACTCAGGTTACATACCACCTCGATGAACTGGACGTCTCGGACTCAGAGTCGGACTTTGACACACCACAAGCAAAGGTTCGATGCACCTCTGCGTGAATTACAAGCACTGAGACTAACGAATCTACTCCAGAAGCGTGCAGTCGCGACGAGTTCCCGCCCACTTCCCAAGCGCAAGATCTTCCCTTTCCTGGAACTCCCTGCCGAGATCAGAAACATAATCTACGAGTACACGCTCACGGACCCCTCTGGCATCAACCTCGTCGGCGTGTTCAAGCACAAGCGCCGCAATGTAGAGCGCATATCCGCCAAGTTGCAAGCTGAGCTATCCGAAGGGTCCAGCTGGTCTGATGCCCAGCGCATGAACAACGGTATCCGAAAGGCTCAAGAAGAATCAGCGCCTCTCGTCACGTCGCTTCTCGCCGTGAGCAAGCAGATCCACCAGGAAGGCGTCGATATCCTATATGGCAAGAACGAATTCATCTTCACTGATAGCTTCGCGTTGTACAACTTCATGATTAACCTCGGTCCCAACCGCTCCAAAAGCCTCAGAACGCTTCGTATTCTAGGCTGGCTCCATGGTCGCGCCATGAAAGCGTACAATCACTCTTGCTTCGCTGCCCTCGTCTGGGCGACCAACATCACCGCCTTTCATATCGACTCCCAGATCGGCTGGTACCGCGCCTCCAAGTACGGCGCCGACCAACTTTACCGCGATGCGTTCCCCTGGATGGAAGCTGTGGGTATGGCGCAAGGCAAAGTAGACGCCGTTGTCGACATCATCAAGCTCGGCGAAGACCATTTCGACAGCCGTAACAGCTATCATCGTTATTCGTCTCAAGCGCCGAAGTCTAACGATGATATGTACGAGGAGTTCACGACGGCGTTGAGGAAATCGCTGGGAGCACAGCGACAAAGAGTCATGGCGCCGACTAGTCAGGTGAAGAGAGTTAAGGTTGTGAAGAGAGTGGTGGACGACGAGGAGTGAGTATGAACGGATATGCTGGTCGCAGAGCAAACCTGACGAACTCACAAGACGTACGAGCGATGTCGAAGAGGCGGAAGTGGATACAGCGCAAGGCTTCATAGGGTCTGTTCGGAGTTGGTGGTCGAATACGTGTATGATTTCACGCGCCTGTACATGAAGCTGTCAGTCCTCACTACTGCGACACGACGAACCCGGCATGAAGGATGGCAGAGAAATAGAACACTTCGTACATACCACATTCATTCAGAATCCAATACTAGAGAAATCGATCACTTCGTATTTGCTACACACATTAAGGATCATATACTACTTTCTACAACACAACCACAGTCTATTAGTATATAAGTATGCAAATCCACCGTACATTGGGTATTAAGCCGTCCATCCATCTCCCAACCAATAGACAGACAAGACACGTACAGAGACCAACCAACCATCATGAGACATGAGCTTCGTAAAGCATGACATGACATGACATGCAGACATTATATCCACCTCCCTCACTTGAGCACCAACCTCTCCAACATAACCCTCAGCGCATCCGCCCCTTCCTTGCCATCGACCCCTAACTCCCTCTCTACCCCACGAACATGCTCCTCCGTCTTGCCCCTCAGCTCCTCAATAACACCCTTACTGTATTCAAAGCTGCCCTTGCTCTCCATGTATCGAAGCGCATACCGCTTAACCTCCTCATCTGTAGTCTTCTGTTTGAGGATGTTGATCAAGATCTGGTTGCTTGGATCGGCGCGGATGGCGTGGATAACGGGGAAGCTGAATTTGCCTTCTGTGAGGTCTTCGCAGAGGCCTTTCAGGGTTGTGTAACCGGATGTGGGCGAGAGGTTGAGGTGGTCGTCTAGGATTTGGAAGAGGAGGCCGATTGTGGAGACGAGGGGGGTGCAGTCACTGGACGTTGTTAGCTGGGGTGAAATCTTGGGGTGGAGACGTCGGGCACGTACATATCTGTATGCGACTCTGCTTGCATGAGCTTGATTGCTAGTCTGAATAGACCCCCGGTTTTATTTCCTACCATCTCTAGGTAGTCTGCTTCACTCGGACATGTCAGGGTGTCCCTCCAGTATAGGTCCATGCCCTGTCCACGGTGCAGGTTCAACAGCTCTTCTGTGAAGATCTCGATGAGCTTGGGGTTGTTCATGGAGAGAAGCAGGGATAGCGCGCGGAAGTAGACGTAGTTGGCCGAGTTGATCGTTTGCGGGGTACCGAAGATAGAGTGGGCGACCGGGATGCCGCGGCGGAGGATGGAGGAGTCTTCTACATCGTCGACGCTGGGGGGTGTTAGGCAAGGGAGAGGGATGTGGGGTGGGTGTGCTTACAGTAAACTCGCGGTATGCAGCATGCCCACCACTTTTGTGATAATCTCGAGTCTCTCTGGCGGCACTTTCAACCACAGGTTGAAGGCTGCGATGCACTGACTCCGTATGTCCTTGCCGGGGTGTCCATACAGGTAGTCGTAGGGCCCCAGTAATATGCGCTCCTTGCCCTCTGTCCACGCAACCCCATTTCCGTATATGAGCTCTTCGCCAATATCTTTTGCATGTTCTGCGGGTGGTGACAGCGGCGTCGGGTAATTTGTGCTGGCTTCGAGGCTTGCGCCGGCTTGCGTATTGTCCATGGGCGAGTCCATGTCGGTGTGCTCGGTGCGGGGCGGCGAGTTCAACTGCGCGGCCATGGTCTGCGGCCGAGGTTGTTGCAGAGACACGTTTGGGGCAGGCGCGTTGGAAGGATCCGCCGGATGGCTCGTCTTGCTTTTCTTGCTCTGGCCGAGCCAATCAATCTCGCTCAAGGGACGCAGCACACTCGTTCTGGAAGGCTGCTTGGCAATGCTCGCATTCAAGTTGAGGATGCCCGTGGAGCTGGTGCGGGGCGGGATGGCGTTGGGCGAGGCGAAGGGGTGGTTTGGGGAAGTGGCCGGCATGATGTCGAGGAGCGCGGAGGTGCCGGACGGTGTTTATACAAGGCGCACACCACTACGCGACCCTCCTCTACTTTGGTTGAGGTGCCTGGCGGGCACGCGGCGCCGAGGCTCGTGACAATGCAATGACGGCTGCTGTGAACAGATGGGGTTACCCTCGTAGACGTTACTTTGAGGCTGCAGGATGCGCTGCGAGGACGGGGCGGAAAAGCGGCGCAACAGCCTCTTGGAAGCCCAGTGCGGAGTCCTCGGGTTGCGTCTTCTCTCTATGGCGGCCTCTGGCGCAGAGCTAAAGGGGAGGTTGGAGAAGACCGTCGGGGAGTTGGCCGCATCATGGCAGGCACAAGGCCCTTTTTGCTGCGCATCATTAACATACCGAGCTCTCCATCAAATGCACATGTCGAATGCATGGGAATGCATGTATGACGCCAGGTGTCGCTTAATCCCTGCGTCGGCCATGCGCTAACCCCTCCCGGCTGGCATGCCCCCATCTGAGATTGCGCACTGCTCACACCCAGCCCCGAGTCGAGCCATCTTGCCCAACACTTTGGATAAATCCACCACAAAAACTACCACATTATCCTTCTTTGAGCCGGAGATTTAATGCACCCCTCTGGTTCACCTGCATTGGGAACGACCTTCACCTAGCACAAGCAAATATGACAAGGGCACGTAGTCCAATTGCGGAACTGGTCTCTACATCTTGTAGTCCGCCTTCATTGCAATCCGTCCGCACTCCAGAAACAGCAAGAACTCGGCTGCCGCCAGCGCAGCATTAGATATTATACAAATCAAAAGGCTTGTGTTACAGGCAGAAGAGGAAGAAGAAGGAGCTCCAAGCCTGCCAGATGGCCTCCCCCAATTCAAACGGGTATGGAAAGGAAATAAGGTAAAATGAGAAAAGGGTGGAGGGCCGAAAGTATGCAAGGAGAGAGATACAGCCCCAGTTTAGAACCGTTTTGTATCCAACACAACAAGGAAAAGGTGATGCCTGATGCTGTAGTCGTACGTCGTCACAAAGAAAAGCCGAGAGGAAAGGAGAGTAGAGCCGTTGGGGCGAAGGGTTGGGTAGAAGTCGTGGTGACTATTCACAGCGCTTGGTTGTACGCAATCCAGGCATCGTGCGCCTCCCGCAGGACTGGACAGAAGTTAGCAGCTGACACAAACATGGACAGGGTTGAAACCTACTTTGCAGAACCTGAGCTTGCCCAATGTACGTCTCGCATGCGCACTGCAAGGTACGCCCGTCCATGAAATCCAGGACCACGCTGTTGGGAAGTTCTTGGCGATCTTGGTCAGGTGGGTAGGGTGTGCGGAAGTCGCTGAGATGGAATCGCTTGACAATTCCCTTCTCGTTGTGTTTCGACGGACTGAGGACGAGGTTGCCCAAGGCGTCAATTTCGACCCATCGTCGTTTCCAAAGCTGCACCCGGTTAGCGTAAGATTGACATTCACATTGATAAGACTTACCAGAGTGTCTGGGAATTGGATGTTCAGATCGCCAACATGCACAGGCGGCGGTGGCTCGCGTAGAGACGCCAGAGAGGTGGAACGCATGTCGTTCTCGGGAAGTGCCAAGCTGCTGTTCGAGTTCTTCCAGGGCATGGCAGACATGGAAGAAGACATGCGCTTGAACATCTTGCTGGTGCGCGACTTCTTTTCGTCTTTCTTGTCCTTTTTGTCTTCCCTCTTGTCTTCGCCGTCGTGGCTGTGTACCGACTTGGACTCGCTCATGCGGCGACCGAAGGCTCTCCACGTGCTCTCGGACGAAGCCCGCGAAGGTGCATTGCTGGGCTCGCGGGAGTGTGAAGATGAAGGTGGAGGAGAAGCAGGCTCCGGTCTTCCACGGGTAGGGCTCCTAGGCGTGATGGTTGCCTTTTGGTGATCGATGATGAGAGGGCTCTGGTGGAGATCCAGTGGTGTACTCTCCGTTGGCATCGCAAGCGTCGGCTTCATTGTGCGCTCATCGCGAACGATGCGGGCCGTCACTTGCACAGACTCCGGCTTCTCAACTCCTCGCTGTACGTTGTATACTGTCGACTTGACTGGCGCCGACTGCTTCTTCTTGTCAGGCGTTGTTGAAGCAGATGAAGCCAAAAACGAGGGGCTTTCGAGACGCGGCGTAGATTTCCCAGAGGGAGAGATCTCAACAGGTGTTGTTGCAAAGAATGAGGATTTACGCTGGGCGACGGAGCTTCTGGTGCTCAAAGCAGAGCTCGCAAGACTTACTTGTGAAGCCGATTCCCTGTTGGTCTTGTCTGCAAGTGCTTTGATCCTCTGCGAGATGCCAGAAGAAACGTTGATCTTCTTCGGCGCAGTACTCGAGTCGGACTTTGGCGCGGGAGGCCAACCGCCCGAGATCTTACGGCCAGTCTGCTCAGGTGACAGGCGACTGATGCCATGGTAATTCGACGATGCTGATCTGGGAGGCGTTTGTAGGTCTGTTGCAGAGGATTTCCTGGGGAAGAATGGGGTGATTGGCGACTTGGACACCGACATGGGCTTAGCTTGATGTACTGTAGCGCTTTGCAGCTCCTCCATAAAAGAATCATCCGACAGGTACTCGGTCTCGGATTGGTCCGCGCTGACTTCGAGTGGATCCAAGACAGCACGTCGCTTTCCTTTGGTCTCGTACCAACTTTGATGCTGGGAAGACGGCATGAGCATAGACTCCCTGTTGCGTCTCTTGGACTGTCCTTCCTCTTGCTGGTACCCTTCGTTCGACGGCATGTAGATGGTAGATTCGCGGTTCGAGCGGCGTTGTGATGGCATGTCATTCTCCCATGGCCTTAGGGTGTCCCTCTTGCTGCTGTCATCTGCGTCATCGAACGACGGCGCTCGCTCGGTAATTACTGGGCCTTGCGCAATCTCCTGTGCTTCGACAGGCGGTACGGGAGTTGTGCTCTCAGGAACCACAGTCGGCGTGCTGTCAACTGATTGCTCTTCATCCACAAAATCCGCATTGTGCGACTCTTCTTGCTCGTCAGACTTTTGCGATTCTTCCATACCTGCCTCGTCCTCCGAAATAGACGATGGCCGTGTTGAAGGTGCGCCGGTGGAACCGTGGGTCTGGGCGGACACGGGTGACGAAATCGAAGCAGTAGAGTTTAGGTCGTCTGTCTCGGTAGGACCATCCGCGAATGCAAGGCCAGAGCGGCTTAAACGTGACGAGGAAGGGAGATCGTCGCCAAGCAGGGTCTCCTTGTCGGCGTCAGTTTCGGCCTCAGGTTGTGCAGCGGAAGGGCCATCATCGGGCTCGGTCGCAGCAACGGTCGCATCTGTCGTAGTTTCATCTTCGGCGTCAGTCTCCACCTTTATCTCCGCGGCCTTGACTTCTACCTCCGATGCAGCATCTTCAGTCGCCTTGTCCTTCCTCAGCTGTTGGGCCTGTTGTTGTTTCTTGCGCATCTCGAGAGCCTTCATGAGTCTTGTCCGCTCCTGTGTCGATCCTCCAGCCCTGAGGTGACTCCTGTAGGCGGACACGGGCATCGACTTGGTACTGGCGGGGGCTCTCGCGGAGTATACTGACGAGGCGGGGGATTGTGGCATCTCAGGCATTGGAGGAACCTGGTGTGGAGGAGGAATGGCGATCGCGGGAAGGGTGCTCGAGGTGTTGGTCTTGGACTCTTTCTTCTCAGCTGTCTTCCGTGCCGCAGAGCGCAGACCTGCCGGGAGCGATGACTTCGGTCTCGCCAGATCTGACGGAGCACTGCCCGAGGTGGATGGTCTCCTGCCTTCGAGCGATGGCCGCGGTCGCGGTCCCAGCTTAACTTTTGGTTTGGTGTACTGCGCGTAGTAGTGCTCGTACAGTTCGTTGTAGTTTGGTCGTGCAGTCTGCGAAGAGTTCCGGGGTTCTGGTCCACCTTCGAAGAGCGAGTCGTAGCTTTTGAGCGTGTCCTGGAGATCTGATAGATCGGTGTCGTCTGGCGTCGTCGGCCCTTCAGTGACCGTCTCCATGGTGACATGGGAGATCTGTGGTGACAATTTGTGCTCGACGACCTTCTCGTCCAGCATCAACGGAACCGTCTCGGCTTGTGAGTTGATCGACCCGCTCCTCGTGAGATTGTCTTCGCTGTCTCTGGATGGCTCCAGTATGGTGGGTATGTTGGACTTGGCAGTTTCCGGTCGTGCACTGCCGTCTGCATCGGGCTGGGCGCCTTCCTCGGCGGCCTCTTGGATCCAGCTGAGCTTCTGCTGTCGCGACGATCCGCTGGAGGAGGAGCTCGACGGGGCGGCGGTGTGCAGACTGCATGCGGCGGTAAGAGCGGCATCGCTGAGCTCTTCCGGGGTGGATATGGACAGGACGATGTCGTGGGGCGCAAACTTCTCGGTGATGTTGATGAAGTGGACACTGACGCGGGCTGTCGAGCGTTAGTCGTGGTGATGATAGGAACAAGCCTCCACATACCCTGAAGCAGTCGCGAAGTCCCCTCGGGCACGTATTTGACCAGGACCTTGCGCCGGCGGTACAGCAGCAGGCCGTACAGCGGTGACTTTTCCTCGTACTGGGCGACGGCAGCGCGCGCCTCGCCAGCACCGCCAGTGCCGCGGGTCAGGACTTCGACGGCATCCCTCGACGTGTACCTGAGCAGGAACCTAGATGCCAAACGTTAACACGTGGTCCGCGTGCGCAGAAGAAATTGGGATGTCGTACCAACCGCCAGCTTCGGCGAGGGCACCCTGGTACGCCTGTGTGACCTCGACATTGTCCAGTCCGTTCAGCGACATGGTGCCAGGTCAGCCGAAAAGCGACGCTCGGGGGTGCAGACTCTCAAAGCCGTGCGTGTCTGCGGCGAAGAGTCGTCAAGTCGTGATGTTGAAAGCGCCAGACGGCCAGGAGGTCCGGGCTAGTAGGGGTCATGCAATCAGGGATCCGAGGTGGTAGAGTATCAGAGGCAGAGGCAGAGGCGCATGGGGCGGCGGGCCATTGGGGCTGCTGCGCTGGGCGTCGAGGCAAATGGACGCTTCAGGAACTGTGCCGTGCAATGCGCCTAGCAGTCTCCTCCAAAAGAGCAAGCTGGAGGGAGGGCAGTGAAGGCGAGCGTGGAGCTGAAACACAGGGGGCTCCATGGCCTGAGAGCACTAGGCACTTTATCTCCGCCTCCCGCTCCACACGCCTTCTCACCGACATCGACTCCCCAGACTGCACCACTGCTGCACTGCACGTGTGCCCGTTTGCTCTTTGTTTTTATGAGCGACGCGAAGTTGTACACGCGATTGCATACAATGCATTCTCCACGTGGTATCCTTCGATAATCTCGGATACTCGCACGCATGACAGCCCTGGCCCGCATGAAGACCCTCACCAACGCAGGTACAGCCGGCAATCCTGAGGCGCCCCAGGTCACACCCTATTCGATCAGATCGACAGTTACGGGCTGACGGCTATGAAAGCCTTCCATTGCTTGTGCCGCCGGTATATCGCCGATGACAAGGCGGGGAAGAAGAAGCAAACAGCTGCCAACCCAGCAGTCGATCGCAGTCCCAATGCGCACCTTCTTAGCTCAAATTCGAGCATCACCAGACGTGACAGCACCTCGCAGCTATGCCAGTCAATCTAAGTGCTATAACACGACATCCCAGTACATTCCTATCTGTTGAGGGCCTGTGGGAACGCGTCGGACCTTGAAAAAATGCACCTCGACTCCGCCGTGCAGTATAAACAAGCTTCATCCATTGTTTACTGCAAAACACGGTACGCGTCGCGGACTAGGAAAAGCTAGACGGCAGTCCGTCTGCAAAGCTCAACTACCTCGACACTAACTCTTCGGTGCTGCCCCGCTATCCATCCAGAACAGCTTTGCCCCTTGCAGCGACCCACGTAAAGACACCATGCACGTCGTTGGCCATGACCAGGCATGCGCTGCATCGCTGATCGGTCGGTAGCGGCCGCGAAAAAAAGATTGAACAGTGAACCACGACCATAACCACAGCCTTCTGCCTCACCACCACCACTCTACAAACGTCAACTTCGACCCTTCAATCCTAAAACCCAACTAGCCAAATCTCCGGTCCCAAACTATCGCATCGCGAGAAAAGCAACAAACGGCTATCCCGAACCACTAGCCACTACCCTCAACCCTAACAATGACATCACTCCCACCCGCCAGCGCCCTCCCCCACGCCTCCGAGTCCACCCTCACAAACGTTCTAGACCTGCTCTTCGAGCCCTCGCCTCCCCTCCGCACCATCACCTTCCCCGTGCTGCGCTCCGCCACCTTCCCCAGCTACGACATCCTCATCACAGCCGTCAACGCGCAGCTCGCTGCACTAGCTGCCTCAGATGACGAAGCCGATGTGAAGAAGTTGTCGGAGATTCTGTGTTCGCACCCGCGGTTGGGCGAGAAGAAGGTGGATAGCGAGCAGAGTCGGAAAGAGCAGGCGCAGTTGCAGCAGGGTGGGGATGAGGAGAGGGAGATGCTGGCAAGGTTGAATGCGGAGTATGAGGGGAAGTTTCCGGGGCTGAGATATGTGTGAGTTGATTTCTGCTTCTCGGATTAGACCATATTTGGGAGGTTGTGAACTAATTAATGGTGTAGTGTGTTTGTCAACGGCCGCCCCAGATCGGAGATCATGGAGAACATGCGTTCGCGTATTGATCGGGGTGATATCAAGGCTGAGCGGCAAGAGGCCATTCAGGCCATGTGTGATATCGCTCTAGATCGAGCTACCAAGTTGCAGAAAGCGTAGGATGCGACTTCAGTACAGAAAGAAGGCTCCTGAGTTGGCTAAAAGATGCCATAGTTTCTGGGATGAATGAGTTGAAACAGGGCATAACTAGGTTTCTCGGTATGTTGGATCACATCGTAAATTGAATCAGACGGTATTCTACACGCAGCATGCTCTTTTGGTCGTTCACACGCAAATTCAAACGCCACAAAGGTACCCACTTTCCCCGATCCTGCATATACAATTACCCCTGCCCAAACATAGAACTTTGCGACGAGAAATTCCCCAAACTCCAAACCATTGGACGTGAAACGCTAAACAACACGCTTTTTCCCACAATATAGTAGTACAACAAACACCATGTGCCGGTTTTTTCTTCCCTTTTTGTGACTTCCGCCAGCCCCCATACTCCGGACCCTTTTTAGAATTTTGATAATATACACAAGTTTTCTTTTTTAGATCGAAAATGCGATGCAAAGTTAAGTTTTCAGGTCTTGTTTGGTCCGAAACGTGTGGTATGCGCCATGTTGTAGAAGTCAAAGGCGACGTCGTTCGGTGGATGCGATAGTGATGATATGTCCTGCAGATCCAGTAGGTAGGTAGATTCTGTCGCGTATGAAACTTGCTCGTTGAATACTAGTCTCATGATCCGAACCGCATAAACATCAAGTTCCTCTGCCGTCTGCGTTCTTCTTCCACGTCACTCGTGCGAACTGGCTGATCTACTCGGTCCGGGTGATTGTCCAAATGGTTCCATGCCGTCGGGTTCTGCGCTGTCATCGAGGTATCGAGCGCAGTGAAATTTGGCGACTTGGATACCGGCAGGAAGTTCGGCGAAGCGGGAGCAGCCAATGGCATCAAATTCGGCGAGGCCGGTATAGTCGCAGATGCCGAGGCGAAATTGGGCGACGTCGATACCGGAGGGAAGTTTGGTGACATTGGCGCTAGTGTTGGGGCAAGATTAGGAGAAGCCATCGTCCGTGCTGTAGGTATAAAGTTTGGCGAAGTAGCGGCCGCGGTGCTCACGGCGAGCATTTCCGGTGACACTGATTTCGTTGGTAAGATTGGCCGAAAGTTTGGCGACATGGCGAATGAGTCTGTTCTCTTGGATGCGGACTGAGATGTTGCGAACAGGGCGGGAAAGTCCGGCGATGTTGATGCGAGGGTAGGTGCTGGGCTATCGAAGGTAGACGCGCTTGGCCATATCGCGTCTGCGCCTTCATCTACCTGGTCGTAGTCGCCAACAACTGGTTCTTCGTGGCCCAACACGTTGAAGTCGGAGAACATGCTCGTGGCATGTGTAGTGTTGGTGTATGCTGTGGTGGATGAACTAGAAGTGACGGCAGAAGGCGAGAAAGGCACCTCATCGTCGTCTTCGTATGGGTTTGGTATCGGCTCGTCTTCGTCGTCAAGATGAGCGTACGGGTCGAACGCATCACCACTATCTTCAACGTCGAGAGCGTCATAGTTTGAGAGTCCGAGTGGGGATGGTGGTAGCGGTAGGTAGTCTCGACGTGGTGCCGGGTCTCTTGCAGCGTGAGACCATGCTTCGTTTGGCGAGCGGAACGCGGCAACTTCGTCGGAGGGACTTCTTAATGTTGGGGATGGCGAGGTAGGCGAAGGGCTTCTCGAAGACGCTGGAGAACTGGAGGGTGACCCAGAGACTACAAAGTGTCCTCCAGTCCTCACAGCAGCACTGGGCGGTACTGAGGGATCCCGAGAATGTACCGGTCTCGTATATGTGTCGACACTGCCATGGTTGAACTCTAATCTAGCCAACTCAAGTTGTGCTTGTTCTTTCTCCTGCTCAACTGGCACACGACCGCGCCCATACTGTGCCTCCTTGGTCAAGATGCATCGTCTGCGTATGCCATTGAGGATGGCAGCCTTTCTTAGCAAGTTTCGTCCAAGAGCCTTTTGCTTGGCCCATACTGCAATCTTAGAACTACCGCGATCCACAATATTGGTTGCTGGGTGCGAAAACTGTGGCGATAGTCGTGAAGTGATGAGGAACAATCGAAGGCGCCGCTTCTTCTTCTGCACGCAAGAATGTTCCCCATCGATATCCGCCACCGCTCGGCTGCGCTTCCTCGATCCGCACGGCGATGGGCGAGGCAGAAAGGTAAGCCCCATAGTGGGCTGGGGAAGTATATTGAACTCCAAAGTAGACGATTGTCCAATAGGAAGTAGGTTTTCGAATCTTCGAGTTGGTGATGTTGCGTGCTCGGTGGGGGCTTGCATCATCCTCCGTTGCCCAACTTCATGCACTGTCTTCGGGAGATGGAGCTGGTGACGCGAATCGGCATTCTCGCACAGCAATCCTGATCTAGCAGTGGCGAGGTGTGATGGTGCTAGTTCAGACTGTCGAAACGTCGGTATGCCGTGCGGATACGGCGCGAGGTTGACAGAGGGATGTGGAGCCAAAGACGCCGTGCTAACGAAGGGCGAATCTTAGCTTGGGGTGTAAGCGTGCAATATCGAGGTCCGGCCTGTCACGAGACGACCTCTGGAGCCCGAGACGAGATGCGAAGTAAGCATGCGCGTGACGCAGTTACTGATTGGGCGAGTTAATATCGAGAGCCAAAGGGTCGCCAGCGAGGGAACATGTCGGTGCCAGAGAGTAAGCAGTCGGCGATGATGAAAGTGGTATTCTGTCTTGTGCAGAAGAGGGGCTAATAATATCGCTAGGGAGGTGCAGGAGCGGATGACCCAGCGCTATGGGCAAGATGCGGAGAACCCCAGTAGCCATCTGCCACACTACCACTAGTGACATGCACACATCATCTTCTTACTGGACAACGTGAGAAGGTCTTTGCAAGCCACGGCATCCAGACATGCACTTGGTGGATTGATCACTGAAGACTCGACCGCAACATCGGTCAAGGCCAGCTTTGTGAGGCTGCAGCACGTCGTAGCGGAGGCGAAAACGGGACTTTTTGCTCGTGTTTGAGGGAAGAGGCGCACGCGGACTGAAGAGGAGGAGATGGGCGCTGGCCGGTCGGAGAAGGTCTCCATGCCCAAACTTGATTCAAGTGAGGCTTCAAGCTTCAGGGGTTCCC